CCAACAAGAGCAAAATTATACAAGACCGAAGCTATACCATAGCGGAAAAAAAAAAGAAATGACCCTTGTAACGATCAAAACAACGACCGACAAAATGCAGCAACGACTATCGGCACCTACCATATCTTGACAACACAAAGACCACGAGTAAGGTTCTTCAAAATGCCACTGTATGTTACCTCTTGCTCGGGCAGTCCCGCACCATCCTTCGATGCGGCCACCCGTGACAGATTTCTAGAAGACACTGCCACTGTATGTTACTTCTTGCTCTCCTATCCTTGTGTGACAGCAAATCACCTGGCATGCCAATTAGGAGGGAAATCATGTCAGACTATTCCTCGCCGGTATAGCTCTATCCTACCGCTGCTCCACAACCTTCACTTCCTCAAGTCGTCGCAATCAAATTGCCTCAAGCCATCTTACATCGTCCAGTGGTATTCATAAGATGAGTTGCGGTCTCCGGCTCCCTCTTGCATAGCTGACACAAGTTGCAGTTTGGCCACCCTCTTCTTTGCAGCCGGTCTGTTGTCTAGATTCTATCATTGGCAATGAGCCAGGCAAAGAACTTGCACTTGGGCGGGGCTCAATTCTTCCACACAACCTTGGTCGTGTTTGAAGGGACAACACTCTCGAATTGGGCCATGGCTGAGGAATAAATTCTGTTGGTGGTGAGGTTTCACTTGATAACATCGGGGAGATCATCCTGAAGATGGACCGTAGCAAGCCTGTCCAAACGGATGTATCTAAATGTATTTCTATGCTAAATACATTTGTTTGAGCGACAAGTAATATGAACATGAGAGAGTATTATTTTTTGGTAATCATTAGGCAACGTGTACAAGGTCAGGGCAAACAAAGAGTCAATGCAAAACAAATTTGCGTGGGCAACTATGCTAGTTTAGTGAAAAGGGAGAAAATAATAGCAAAAACAAAGAATTAACCCAAAATGAGAAGGAAAAAGCTTTTTAACAACTAACTGATCTTCTCGCCGCATCCACCGCTCACGCGGCCGTCAGATTGCGACCCACTGGTCCATTGGATCGTGGTTGCGCGTGCACCTTGGGACCAGGCATCACTTTTCTCTTGCGATAGCAGGCAACGACGACCACATGTGTGAGGCAACATCGTTCGATCTCTCAGTTACAGAAAAACTCGTAAAAATGATCCTGCAACAAGACCTTTATTGTGAAAATTTCTACAACGAGATCTATGTTGCAGAAAAAAAATCATAAAAATGATTTCACAACAAGACCTTTGTTGCGGAAAATTCCACAACAAGACGTCTGTTGCAAAAAGAAAAATCTGAAACAAGACCTCGGCTGCAGAAAACACTGCAACAACACACTTGTTGCAAATATGACTCGTTACACAGGTAGATCGAACGCCATCCGCAGCGGATCTTTTTATATTATCGCTCGAGAAGGAAAACTAGCTAAGGAAACAACGAGTTGACGAACATTGTCTCCCCCTCCCCTACTGCTTGCGTAGGTGGTTGAACGCTTGCTCCAGCGTTGGCGCGAAGCGAGTGGTGTTGATGCGGACGTTCTGCATCAGGTAGAACTCATACATCGTGGTCCAGCCGCTTCGGTGGATGGAGTCGGGGTCCTTGATCGCCGGGTGATCCGGACCTAGCTTCTCCAGCAGCGAGCTCTCCTCCACGCTCACGCTGTAGTCAAGGTACTTGAGCCCCATGTCTGTTGCGGGCTCGCTGAAATCTAACCTCGCCATGGACTCCAACTTGCCATACGGCACCACCTGGATCAGTACGCCGCCGGGCGGCATGTGCACCGCGTTCGTCAGCCCGGCGCCGTGCACGCCCAGCAACACATCAAACGAGTTCACCACCGAAGCCTGCTCAACCTCGGAGCCGTCGTGCCGCAGCTCCGTCACTACCACCTCAAACCCCGCCGCCTCCGCCACTCGCGCAATCTCCGGCTCGTTAAGGAACT